TGTATCTTGACTCATGGCCGGATCTGGGCTCATGGCTCGATTTTGGCTCACAGCTGGCTCTGGGCTTGTGGTTGGATCTTGGCTCGCGGCTGGATCTGGGCTCGCGGCTGGGTCTGGGCTCGCGGCTGAGTCTTGGTGGGTCTCCAAGACCTCCCCTGAATTCACATTTGCATCAGGGGATGATTCCGATAGATCCCCTATTGCTGGCTCGCCATCTCCCAATGGGGCCAGCTTGGCTTCGGCTCGCGGCTGGATCTGGGCTCGCGGCTGGGTCTTGGTGGATCTCCAAGACCTCCCTTGATTCCACATTTGCATCAGGGGATGACTCCAATGGATCCCCTGTTGCTGGCTCTCCATCCCCCAATGGAGCCAGCTTGGCTTCATCTACCTCGTCTACCATGTCAGTGTTCTGACTAGCCATGGGTGGAGCTAGTCTAGACCAGGAGCATTGCTACCTGAGACCCTATCACTGAGGGCTCAGGTCACAAATGCCTTCAGTCACAGCAGGGATACCCAATAAATACTGTCCACAGAATTCTAGAGTCTTGGTTGTGGGGCAACCAGCTGCTTGAGTCACGTTTCTCTTTATTTGTCACGTGATGTCACAAAGGTGGCTCACAGGTGCTCTGGAGAGGGGGCCCTGGTCACCTGTGGGGGAGGGCATGGGTATAAGGCCCCCAGCTGTTCTCTTTTAAGAAAGTCCTGAAAAGCAGGGTTTGGGTTCCCAGAAAAGGCTCCTGTCTGCTGCCAGGCACATCCTTCCATCTTGCCAGGCACTGGATGGGTTGAGAAGCCATGATGCCATGAGCACTCCCACCCTTAGAAACGGGGGAGGCCTGTTGCTGGCCTCTCTGATCGCTCAAGGGCCAGGCCCTGGTTAGTCCTAGCTTGGCTACCACCAAGACTGCCTGGGACAGATGGGCCCCTGGGGAACTGTACCTCTCAAAACATGGTAGTTGGCCCGGTCTCACGTGGTAACCCCCCTTCCCCTCCCCCCCGTTTCTGCGTTGGTCTCTTCCAGCTGCTCCTGCTGCTTGGTTGGTCTTGCTCAGATGGGCCCAAACAAAGAGTCCTGTTTTCTTGCCCTTGCTTGACCAGGGTGGGCCTGTGCTCCAGCAGGTGGGAGCACTCCTCTGGTTCTTTATTCTCAGTGTCACACAAAGCACCTCAGACACAGTGTTACCCATGGCTCCAGCATCCACGTGCATGGCCACACCCTCCGCCATGCTGGAGACTCCCCACTGGAGCTCGGTTTGCCCCACAATCTCATTCCCCTCCAGGTCACAGCAGGATCGGCTTTGGTTCCTTTTCTTGCCCATAAGATAACTTCTCATTACCCAAGATGGGCTCACTTTGGGACACCTGCACATGCCCTTCTCAAGTCACCTCCCCAGACCCTCGGGTTCAGCCCCCTTCAGGCCTCCTCTGCACCCCATTTCCTTTCTTCGTTGAGTTGCTTTGACGTTTGCTCACCGAGATTTCTGGCCTCCCACTTCTAACTTGGATGTCCTTTGGGATTTCCCCCTTTTAAAGACTAATTGGGGGGGTTGGCATATATTCAGTTTCTGTTGAAACAGCGTTTCACTGATCCACTCTCATGCCAGTGCTGCTCTTCTTACCCAAAGCCCACCTCCACCCCCCACACATGAGTCCCGCTCCTGCCGTTGCCTCAATGGTAGGTACATTGAGTCGTTTTGTTGGGGTTGAACACTTTTCAAGGGGCTGACTTTACACGGATGCACTCCCAAGGAAAATCCCTACTTGTTTAGCGAGCATGACTGAAGGAGGCCAATGTGAAGATCATCATCAATGTGTATTTGAACATAGCTGAGGATCTAGGTGCGGGATGGTCCAAAACCCAAATTCAGGTCACCTTCACCATGGCAGAGGGGATACGACAGGCTTTGGTGATCCATGTTCTCTAGCCCTTGTGCACAACTTTGTTCTCAATACTCACTCTCTACAGGGAGGTACCATGGAAAGGCCCTGCCTACACGAGTCCTCAGTCCTTGTCCCAGCTCTGCCCCTAAGTGGGGTCATTTGCCCTCTGTGGGGGTCAATCCTTTGTTTCTAAGAGGGGAATGCGAAGGTGTTTGGGAAGGAACCTCCCAAGATGTCTTCCAGTCGAGGACTGTGTCCTTAATGGAGCCCCCAGGTCTAGGTTCAGGCGTGTGCTTCTAAAGAGGTGGAGGGAGCATTCATTCAAGAAGTCAGTTGATCCTGTGGGGACGTGCTCTAAAGGCTAAAAAATGAAGGGAAGGCCATCGGTGGCTTCACAGAGGGGGCTTCCTTGAGTCTGGTTAAGCAGCCAGCTCCTTTCAATTACATACCAAAGCATTGTTTCTTGAGTGAGTTCTTCAAAGGACGAAATGAGATTTCCTTGTAGCCTTTTCTGGCTCATGGCCGCAGCTCTTCAAAGGGATTTGCTCACTTGGTGGGAGGGAAATGGGAGAGAAGAAATGACTCGGGAAACCACAGTCTGGCATTCCGTGGAGAGCAGTCGTTCTTTGATAGGATTTAGGCACTCACGTCACAAGCCTTGTGCAGGACCATGACCTAATGTTCTTCATTTTAGGAGTCACCAAATTTCCACTGGGGTGGAGAATCTAGAGCAGCAGGCTCACCTTGTCCTCTGACGATGAAATATGCACAGTGCTGACTTCAGCCAAGTTGAAGTAAGGCATTATGGGAACGGCCTCCCTCAGCTAAGCCCGCTCAGTCCCAGAATGTCAACCAGGAACCGTGGCCTCCAGTCAGATGTCTTTATTAGGTACTTACCACACTCGAGACTTTTGGGGGGAAATAATTAGTTTGCTCTTTAGAAGTCCAAAGACCCTAAAGATGACCCGTATCTGTAGCCATTTTGTGAACCATGTCCCCAGAGTCAGGTGATTCTAGCAGAGCGCAGCTGATGGGGCTACCAGGACAGCCCCCCCACCAAGGGAAAATGATGTCAGTCTAGACTTGACTGTGGCTTCTGCACAGCCTTGAGCCATGGAGAAAGTGCCGAGCTCTGGGCTGTGGGACCCAAAGCCAGGGGCTGACCATGTGGCAAGCCTGGCTGTGTGGCCTTGCCTGCCACCAGCCCCTCCTTCTGGCCCTCTCTCGCCTCTGGCTTCCAGCGGGACTAGCCTCCCTACTGGTCTCCCTTGGTCCCGAGCACCAGCCGTGCCCCTGCAGATGGTTTACCTGGCACCTAAGGGTCTTTCTCAGCCCTGGCTTGGAATGCATCAGGTGCAAAGACACCAGTCCTTGGATGTCCAAGGCCTGCCTCTCCCGGCCTGGGGTCCCCTGCACCCATCTTACCTAGTTACTTTCACGCACCATCGCTAGGTGCCAGCTCCAGTGGGGCTCCCTGACACACCGTGACCCCTGTTGCAGATGGTCCTCATGCTGCCCCCTCATGTGACATCGCTCCTCTTTCTCCAGAGGCCACTCAAGGTGCCAGGGTCCTGCTCCAAGCCCACCTCTTTGGTAAGGCCTTCCTCACAGCCAACGTCCCCTTCATGACTCCCTCCTGGGACTCTGATTTCCAGTTCCGGTGGGGTTGCTCCTGTTTCCCTCTGAGGTTGGACACATCCATCTCCCCCTCCCGACTAGGAAGGAGGTCCTTGAGGACGGCGGAGAGCACGATGTGAGCCTGGTCCCATTATACATTTTGGAAAGAAGACAGTTTTGTGTCACCGGGAGCTCGGTGGGTTTTAGTGTCCTTGATAACAGCTCTGCATTGTAGCAGGGCCAACAGGAGAGCGATGGAGGGCGCCTGCCTCTCAGGGCCGTGCCGAGTGCTCTGAGGGTCTGTGCCATGTATTCTCCCCCGCATTCCCTGGGCAGGTATCAGGAAAGGACCAGCCTAGGCCATGGAGGGGGGCAGGGGAGGCCCAGGCCCAGGTTCCACCCTGAGGAAGAAGTGAAGCTGAACTGGGGCCCACCGCACACCCTGGCGCCCACAGCCTCACCTCCGGAGGGGGCTTTCAGTCTTCCGTGAAGCCACCTGCCAACTGCGGGGACAAGAGGCTTTCCTACTGGTGATGTCTCATTTTGTGGTTGTCCACAGCTAAAGGGACTCTGGGAAACCTATCCCTGGGGGCCAAGAATGGCCGCACGGGGGCCATTGGGTCAAATGGGCCTTTCGACAAGAGCCACGTGCAGTCGGTGTTAACAGCCCGCTCCTCTCTCTCACTGTGGGCCCGGGGACCTGGGCTCCAGCGATTTCCACCAGTGGTACTTTTCTACAGTATTGGCAAAGCCTCCATAAGAGGCATCAGCCAGCGGGAGTTGAGGCGGTGAAGTCGGCCTCAATCACTCTCTCTCTGTTGTACACCCTTCAAGCATTGGAAGCAGAGCAAGTCTCCAGATGATGATTGCCTCTTGGAGCCCCTGGAG